TTCTTTCTTTCTTTCTTTCTTTCTTTCTTTCTCTCTCCTTCTGTGTACCTGCGCCTGTCTAGCCAACTAGCTACGAAATAAGTCTACTAGTGCGCGATGCTGCGACTAGGAAGTAAGCACTGCACACTTTCTCACCAATAATTAAGAACACTTACGTCTTCGCCACCAACAGGAGAAGAAAATACCAGCTTCAATTGTGGTTCTTGGTCAGGATTCTCGTAATTTGAGAAGTCTACGAGTGGGATATGGTTTTGTGGTTCACGCTGAAATCAGGTAGACTAGGAGGAAGGTTAAATGGATTTTTGGCATGTCAAGAGGATTCAAAAAAACGGCACTGGGTTAGATTCCGGCGTCAGATATTCAATAACATCCAAATTCGGAAATATTCAATTTCGCTTTCATTTGCTCGCTCGTACTGCTTTTGTCCATCTGATAATTGAAGACAACAGAGGTTCCGACAATTCTGCAAGGTCAATGATCTATAGTTAATTATCTTACAAAACATATACGGTAATATGAATGTACCTCAGATGATCTTTGCTGTACAACTTGTCAAGCATGCTTCTTGCATTGTGCAGATTCATGGGCTTCAACGAAACCTTTGCGGCTTTCGCGAAAAACCTTGAAAGGCAGAAATACAACACTATCGAATTTCCATTCATGACCAACATTATTTCACTAACTCTTCAGATTCCTCTACAAGTTGATCTATCGCTTCGTGGCAACCATTGTTGAGAGTTTTCACGTATTCCACAGACATTATGTCATTGTGAGGGATGTAAACCAGAATCGTTCCAATCTTCGCCGACAACAATGTGCACTCCTTTTTCGACGAGTCTGTTTCTAGAAAAAAAAATGGAAAACGCCTGGAATTGGGTAACAACAAACAACTGACTTATAGAGTTGTAGTTATGACATGCTTCACTTAGTTTCCTCAGAGAACGGTTGTCTTCCAAATTTACAGAATCAAACTCGTGGAAATCATCTCGCCTACTCCACGTGCCTGGAAACACACTAATCTCTGACGAAAGGACTCCTGTGAAGAAGTTAAGAATGAAATACATGGGCAGTGTCAATGGTATGGGTTTAGCGCGCTGCCAGCTCGTTGCTTTTCTGTTTTTTTTCTCTCGCCAAGCGACGAGGCTGTATATTATATCGTCGTCTTCCTTCAGTTGTTGTCGCTTACACGCTTCAACAACTGGTGGAGATCGTGCTGGCGGCGCGCCATATTCTGCTTTGTTGACACGCCCCGTCACCCGCAGTGAACAAGACTGCATATCCCAGAGAGTAGGGCACTATCACCCTCTGACCGACCTTGCATTCCCTAACGTGGTTAACCGGGTTTTGTGGAGCGCTTCCTCCTCAATGTTCTTCGCCATTGCATCATAATCGGATTTATCCATCTTTTTACCGAAATCATGCAGTTTTTCAGCTTGAGGCAGTGACACTAAGTTGAAAAACCTGAAACATTTTCAAATGATACAAATCCCTTTTACCAAATAAAGGTGGATGTGTTGAAGTGAAAATTGCTGAGTAGAAAAATTACTCACCGTTTGAGAATAGCAATTTGTGAAGGCAAGATGAAACAATGTACACCCGTAAAAAACGACTCGATTTCGACCTGAAAACATGGTCTATAACTTGGCAAAAAAAGGAATAGAAAATCAACAACTTACCCTGTTATCTTTTTTGTCAGCTACCGCATCAGAATTTTTTATACGAAATATCAATCGAGATTCTCCAGTGAACTCAGCAAACTTTACAGGAGTGGATATTAATCTATAAAGTGATACCATATGGCTTATAAGACTGCGAGGGAATAACGAGTAAACTTACTCTCGGTCAGAATCTACTCTTGTAATCCTGAAAGGCTCTCCTATTGATAGATTTAACGATTCGCCTGCATTTACTGAAAGTGGCAAGCTATGAAGTTGACCATATTAAAGGGGATCAATTGAACTTACAGTTAGAGTAACATGAATGGAAATTGGAAGTGGACGATGAGAGAGCCGATGTGAAAAGTTCAGGAGATATCGACTCTTGATTAGTTAGCGATGGAGATTTCTGAAAACAATCAATCGGTGTACAGGTATTTCCTTATTAACTGCACTTTTCCTAGACTGCGTTCAGACTTAGCCATCGCGCGACCGGACCCCTCGACTGGATTGCGGGAGTACGACTGGGGGCGCTCCACCGCCAAAGAGTTCACCGCACCAACGGCACAATTCAAACTGGCAGTGTATGAACGCGGCCCATGTTGAATTCTTTCGCTGCTGCGGCGCACATTTGGCAGTGGGGCGTAATCTCGCCATCCAGTCTAGGGATCGCGAATAGTGAACAGTGAACTTGGTCTTTTGTGGACCTTCTGCAGCTAGGTTCCAAACACTATCAAGTAAACTCCCATACACGAAAGTACCTACAGTATTTTTTTCAGATAGTATAGATGGTTCCCTGAGCTTCATTGTATTGAGATTTGTTCTTATGTATAGAAATGAGAAGCTCTTCTTTTCTTCCAAAAATATTTATTGACGACGTTTCGGGCCTAAGCCCTTCTTCAGGTCACTGAATTACACAAGCAATTAAGGTCTTACACATCTCTCATCTCTTTATGTTGATCGGTGGATTTAGCTGCTTAATTTCCAACGCTTCTCTTATCCTTCTTTCGACGGGATCAATCACATTTCTGTGCAAAATGGAGACTCGAAGTTCGGGCGGTCTCTCCTGAGCATGCCGTAGTGTACCGTAGTGTACGATGTACGAAGAATGGATTATCCGCGTAGTTCTGTGGACTACGCAGAGCTCTTATGTGTTCCTCCATTCTCTTGTATAGTGGCCTTGATGTTTCTCCGATGTAAAATTCATGACACGAAAGGCACACCACCTTGTACACTACATATTTTTCTTGACACACCTTGTGCTCTCCACAAAACTGACAGTTTGCTCTTTCACAGCGACTTTCATAGGGTCGCGATGATGTTAAAAGGCGTCGTAAAGTGGGAGGTGGTCGAAAGATCAGGTTAATCGGGAGCCCTGATCTCTTGACGACGTCATTAACATCACACGCAAACGAGTCGTTGATAAAAGGCAGCATCAGTGGAGTACCACAAGGTGATCGGCATGGTCTCCAGCAACGAAGTTGCTGGTTCCTATATCCGTTCCGCCATAGGATATTCTCAACTTCTGTCTCCATTTCTTGATGATTCGTTGAGGTCAGTTCGTGATGTAGAGCGAATCACGTTCACTTTCATGTGGAGGGGATGGCAACTTCTCGCATGAATTAGGATGTTCTGTGATGCCGATTTCCTGTACCACATGGTGTTGACCTGACCTTCCGAAATCTTGATCTTGGTGTTCAGAAATGGGAGAAATCAGCGGGAGGGCGTTCAGCTGTTAGTTTTATCGACTGACACATCTCGTTAAGTCTTCCAAATGTCTGTCGTAAGGCTGCTCGCGATCTTCCGACGATGAATATGTCGTCGATATATCGTCCAAAATAGAGCACTCCCGGTGATAAGGCCGTTCTTTCAAGGCTATCCATAAATATTATTGCTAGTAGTGGAGCCAGTCTGCTACCCATGGCAAGTCCTCTTGTCTGCTTGTAAAAGATGTTTCTGAAGCGGAATATGTTCACATTCACCACGTTTCGTAGGAGCTCTCCAATGTCTTCAACATCAAGGCCAAAGAGCTGGAGCTGATGGTGGTGATGGCGCAAAAGATGCATACATGCTTCTACAGCTCTTCGGGTATCAACATTGGTATAAAGTGCAACTACGTCGAAGCTTTCATATTCTAATCGTGGCTTGTCATAAAAGTTGCACTGTCGTAATTGCTCCAGGAACTGCTTCACATTTTTGAGGTGGTGAGGAACATGGGCAAGCAGAGGAGAGAGTATACGCTGGAGAAACCAGCTTATACGGTCCGTAGGACCGCCACAGGATGCTACTATAGGTCTGGTTTTGATAGAAGTGTGGTCCCACATCATCTTCGCTTCTGACCAACTTATGTGTCTTGAGTAGTTGGTAATAAGTTGGTATGCTTGCGTATTTCGGCAAAAATTGATCCACTATGTCCTTCTCAAGTTTCGTACCAAGAATCCTTCTTATAACTTCTTCAAGACTCCGACATTCGCGTTTATAGTGTTCAACAGAAACCACCTCGTATGTAGTGGTATCTGATAGAACATCTTCGCTCAGAGAAATGTCTCGCTCCCGTAGTCTTCGTACGATTTTCAGTGGGAGACAAATGTGGTGGTTTTGTTGTGATGTCACGGGAGCGAGACATTTCTCTGAGCGAAGATGTTCTATCAGATACCACCACATACGAGGTGGTTTCTTTCAACTTATTACCAACTACTCAAGACACATAAGTTATTCAGAAGCGAAGATGAAATCATAAGATCCGTAGGACCGCCACAGGATGCTACTATAGGTCTGGTTTTGATAGAAGTGTGGTCCACTACATCATAAGTATAAGCTGGTTCTCCAGCGTATACTCTCTCCTCTGCTTGCCCATGTTCCTCACCACCTCAAAAATGTGAAGCAGTTCCTGGAGCAATTACGACAGTGCAACTTTTATGACAAGCCACGATTAGAATATGAAAGCTTCGACGTAGTTGCACTTTATACCAATGTTGATACCCGAAGAGCTGTAGAAGCATGTATGCATCTTTTGCGCCATCACCACCATCAGCTCCAGCTTTTTGGCCTTGATGTTGAAGACATTGGAGAGCTCCTACGAAACGTGGTGAATGTGAACATATTCCGCTTCAGAAACATCTTTTACAAGCAGACAAGAGGACTTGCCATGGGTAGCAGACTGGCTCCACTACTAGCAATAATATTTATGGATAGCCTTGAAAGAACGGCCTTATCACCGGGAGTGCTCTATTTTGGGACGATATAC